CTATCTCAGGAAAAACAAAGTACAAGATGGGTTGAATGCTTAGAACCAGAAGGACAGAAAGGAAGACAGAGGTGTAGCTAATATTGCAGTAAATTTCTGAAGCCATGACCTATTGCAGCAATGGAATACCCAGATTAACATTCCTGCAGCCACAGAAACTTATGTTTCTTGGGAAATATTAGAAGAAATTATAGATGACGGTCACCAGCCATTCAGGCTGTACAAGAAAACAAACAATTGATAAACCCTCAGAGGTACTAATGGCCCTGCCTTTAAAATGGTTGAGACATCAATAAGGATAAACAGTGCCCTCTAGCTGAGGAAAATCTGCAGGCTGGGTTAAACAGTGCCCTGCAGGCTTTAGAACAGCTGGTATAAGAGCAAGTAGATGTTTGACATATTGAAGAATCTATCAGCCCTTGAAATTCTTCATTTGTTGTTAAAAAGAAATATGTAGTAAAAGGAGCAGCGGGGCAGCGTCCCCAGCACCCTGGCCGCCTGGCTAGCTTATGCCCGAAATAACAACACACAAACTGTATTCATTTAAACACTGCTTGGCACATTTCTATCTAGACTCTTCTAGGCTAACTCTCGCACCTGGACTAGCCCATTTCTAATAATGTGTGTAAGCACTCCAAGGTGCGCTTACTGGGAAGATTCTAACCTAAGTCCATCCTGGGTCGGAGCTTCATGGTGTGTGCCTCAGAGAGCAGAGCTATCGTGAGAGCAGAGCATGGTGTCTCTGCTCCAGAGCAGAGCTGTTGAGTCTGAGCTCACTTCCTCTTCCTCCCAGCATTCTATTCTGTTTACTCCACCCACCTATGTTTTAACCTATCAGGGCCAGCCAAGCAGTTTCTTTATTGCTTAACCAATGAAATCAACAGATTGATATGACACTCCCACATCAGAAATCTGAAAAATGAAGAATGGTAACAGATCATAGAGCTATCAACAAGGTTATTCAACCTATGGGCCCTCTACAATCTGGAATTCCTCTGCCTTCTTTGTTACTAAAGGGATGGCCTCTCATAGTTATTGATTTAAAGGATTGTTTCTTTACTATACATTTACAAGAAAAGGATAGAGAAAAGTTTGCCTTCACAGTGCCTACTTAATAATTGGACCATCCTCCCACAGGGAATGCTCAATAGTCCCACCCTGTGCCACTAATTTGTCAGACAGCCATTGGTAATAATTCATAAGTAATTTCCTATGTCTATAATCTACCATTACATGGATGACATTTTATTATATGATTCAAATACAGAAACTTTAGAAAAAAATATTTGAAAAAGTAAGGAGAGCTTTGCCTAAACAGGGATTACAAATTTCTCCTGAAAAGATTCAAAAAGGAGAATATGTTAATTTCCTAGGTTACATAATAGGTTTGCAGAAGATTACAACACAAAAGTTACAAATTAGGAGAGACCGGTTGTGGACTCTTAATGAATTTCAAAGATTATTGGGAAATGTCGCCAATCTATGACCAACTATTGGAATAACACCTGACATAATAGTTCGTTTCAATAAAATTTTAGATGGTGATAATGACTTAAATAGTCCCAGAGAATTAACACCTGAAGCAGAAAAGGAATTGGTGATTGTTGAGGAGAAATTATAGGAGGCACATGTGGATAGGGAGAATCCAAATATTAATTGTATTCTAGTCATATTGCTTTTCAAAATTTCTCCTGCAGAAATTTTAATGCAAAGGGATGATACTATCTTAAAATTGATCTTTTTACCACATAAACCAAATAAAAAATTAAAAACTTATATGAAGAAAGTCTCTGAATTAATTATAAAAGGTAAAATGAGACTTTGTCAATTAACAGGTATAGACCCAGCAGAGATTATAGTGCCTTTCTTTACTGATGAAAAAAAGAGTTATGGGAAGACAATGAAACCTGGCAAAGGACTTGTGCTATTTTGGGGAGAAATTAATAGAAATTATCCCAAAAAATGATAGACTTGACCTTATAAAGAGAACTTTGTGGATTATTCCCCAAATTGTACATGATGTATCAATAACTGGAGCCCATACATTTTATGCCGATAAAAATAATCAGGGAAGGCAGGTTACAAATTAGAAGAATTGAGTAAGGTGGAACAAAGCCCTTATAATTCTGTTTAGAAGGCAGAATTATATGCTATTCTTATGGTACTAAAGGATTTTAAAGAATATCTCAATATAGTTACTCATTCACGATATGCAGAAAGAGTTGTCTTGCATAATGAAACCACTGAATTTATACCAGATGATATGGATTTGACTTCAGTATTTATCCAGGTACAAGACATAATCAGTTATAGGCTTTGTCCTATATACATAACACATACCTGATCTCATACAACTTTGCTAGGTCCTCTAGCACAAGGTAATGCAGAAATTGATCAATTATTGATTGGAATTGTGTTGCAGACCTCTGAATTTCACAAAAAAATCATGTCAATAACAAAAGTTTGAAGAAAGAGTTTCCTATTACATGGCAAAAAGCTAAGGAGATTATAAAGTGGTATCCTACTTGCTCTTTCTATAACCAAACACCATTGCCTGCAGGGAGTAAATGTAAGTAATGAAATCTTGTAGATGGATGTGTTCCATTTTTTAAAATTTGGTAAATTAAAATGTGTACCAAAACATAGACACATATTCAGGGTTTCAATGGGCAAATATCTTGAGCTCAGAAAAGGCTGATTGAGTAATCATACATTTATTGGGAAGCTATAGCCATCATGAGCATTCCTACACAAATACAGATAATTGTTGTAATAGGAGCAGCAGGGCTGTGTCCCCAGCACCCCGGCCGCCTACTAGCTTATGCCCTGAAATAATTACACGGACACTGTATTCTTTTAAATACTGCTTGGCCCATTAGCTCTAGCCCTTACTGGCTAATTCTGATATCCCGATCAACCCATCTCTAATAAACTGTGTAGCACCGGTCTTACTGGGAAAGACTCAGCATGTCTGACCTGGCGGCTTGCTTCATCGCATGAGTCTGCCTGGGAGAAGGGAGCATGGCCTCTCTCCAGAGAGCAGAGCTGTCGAGGCTGAGCTCACTTCCTCTTCCTCCCAGCATTACTGTTCTGTTTACTCCACCCACCTATGTTCTAACCAATAAAATGGGCCAAGGCAGTTTCTTTTTTAGCCAATGACCTTCCTCCATCAGATAATGGTCTGGCATATGTATCTAAGAAAATGAAGTGTAATTTTGCTTATTATTATATAAAGCACATTACAGGTACACCCAATAATTCTACAGATCAGGCAGCTATAAAAATTTCAAATCATACTACAAAATAAAATGCTGACCAAACAGAAACAGATGGAAAAATACCCCCCAGAAACAAACTGCACAATGCTTTATTAAGCTTGAATTTTCTTAACACTAATGAGAAAGGAACATCAACTCAGTCTCATTCAGAGGAAACTGAAGGCAGGATCACCACTTCAGTCTGAGGTAGAGGTAAGAGCCAGTGGCTGGCTGCTTTGCTTTCCCAAACGCCAATATCTGTTTCTGGGTTTATATTATTCATGCCACATTAGGATATAATTCATTTAAGTTATTTAATCCCAAGTGGTAACTGCTAAATTTATGCATATGTGAGCAACTTTAAATAGATTCAATATGTTTGATATATAGTATATATAATACATATAACATATATTTAATATTTATACCTATGTAATATGCATGTAACAATAATTAAGAACAGGGAATCCTGAATTTGGGAAGGAGTTGGGTGACACAGGGGTAGTAAGAGTGGTGAGAAATGAGGGAGAGCTAAAATGATCTAAATACAAATTTTATGTAGGAGAATCTTACAATAGTAAGAAATATTAAATTGTAAAATATTTTAAATAAGTCAAACTATATCTTTAAATTTGATTATAGTTAGAATACTAGTCCTTTTGATTTGGAAAATGATACATGTCACTGCTCAAGGCTAAGTTCCTTAAAGAGCAATAATTCTAGGTGGTGACCCACTCTGGGTTAATGACAGCTTTCTTAGATGCATGTTTGAGTGAGGCCAGGTATGCCTTGATGTTGAACTAATTAGACAGGAAGTGTGAAACAGGTAGTGTTTCCTGCTTCAGTTTCCTGAGTATGAGATAGATTGATGGATATATGAGAAAATGGGTAGTTAGATTGTGTGGTGGTTTGAATGAAAATAGCACCCATAAGCTCATAGGTCATGACAGAACTGGAAAGTGTGGATCCAACCCAAGATCAAGAATTGTTCTTGTGGGACTATATTCAGCTTTGTAGAAGGTAGTATGTCACTTAGAATGAGACTGGGGTTTCCAAAGCCTAAGCTATGTCTATGGCACTGTCTCTTACTACTGCCTGATGATTCTTATGTAGAACTCTTGGTTACTTCTTCAGTACCATGTCTGCTTACATGTCACAATGCTTCATGCCTTGATTATAATAGACTAAACCTCTGAAACTGTAAGGCAATACTCATAAAATTATTCTGTCCATAAAAGCTGTCATGGTATCTCTTCACAGCATTGAAACCCTAACTAATACAGAAGTTTGTTCCAGGGACTGGGCTATTGCACTGATTTAACTGACAATCTTTTCATTTGCAGGAATATGGACATTGGGACTTTGAACTAAAAAAGACTTGAATAGTTTAAGTCTGGATTAATGGGAGATACCAGTAGACACAGGGAAGGTAAAATGAACTGTGGCATTCTGTCTCAGGAAGTTTCAGAGAATTATATTTGTATGTTGCCTAGAAATCATTCTTGTGCTATTTTGGCAGAGAATTTAGCTGTTTTCTGCCCAAACATTTATCTGAGACTAAATTGAAGAATTAAAGGGGCTAAACTGAAGATAATGAACAAGTTTAACAGAGGAGATTTCAAAGCAGTGTTGACTGTATTATGTGGTTATTAGTGACCAGTCTTATTCAAATGATGATAGGAATGAAAAGGAGTGAGATGAGCCAGTAAAAATGTAAATTATACATTGTGTTCATTAAAACAGGTACCAAGGATGTTAAACCACTTGAGAAAAAGTCTAACGCTAGTTGGAATAATTGGAGTCATGACCTCAGAGAACACCCCACCCAGAAAAGCTTCAAACTTGTAAAAGGTATTAAAGAAAAGTAAAAGGCCAGGCATGGTGGTACAATGTTTAATTCCAGGACATGGGAGGCAGAGACGGGTGGATCTATGAATTCAAGGTCAATCTGGTTCACAGAGAAAGTTCCAGGAAAATCAAACCTAGGCAGTGAAGGAACAGTTGAAAACAGAAGGCTGATACACATGTAATTGAACAAAAGTGTCATATTTCAGCTGAAATAGGTAGCAGAACTTGGCAGCTTGGCCACGTGTGGATTTTGGCTTTAGGGTTAAGGATACCAGAATGGGTTTATGAAATCTTCTTCTAAGACTAGGGATAAGTTTCAGAGACAAGATATGTGTCAGGGATGACCCTGAATGGAAAACCATAGCAGACATATGTGAAGCTATGAAGGAAAATCCTGGAATGTCTTGGCCATCCCAAAATGATAGTGAAGCTGGGGTCCTGGGATTCCTGCCAAGGAAAGCTGATAGCACAGAAGTTCAACCAGTCCAAAAGACAGAAAAACATGTTGCAGTATTAAAAGAGCATTTAAAGATCTATTTCACCTCAGAAGTGGAGATACAGTGTTTACAGCTTTCTCAGCTTGTTTTCAGTCATTTCAATCCTGTATTTTCTCACTATATTCCCTTTCTTACCTCTTGGAAGGGTAATATACTTCATGTGCTTTTATATGTTTTAAGTAAATGGTATATTTTTTTATTTTGATTTTACAGGGGATTAGAAAGATTGCCATGAGTCTCAGAAGAGATTTTGGATTTTGGACTTTTAAACAGACGTGAGACTGACAGATTATGGACTGAATGACTTTTGCATTATTTTATGGCTACAAGCTTATGGGGGCAAGTGAGGGAGTGTAATGTGGTGGTTTGAATAAAAATAACACACATTGGTTCATAAGGAGTGCACTATTGGGGCTGCTTCTTTTTAAGTGTTTTACTGGGGTTGTGCATAGAGGCATAGTGCCAAGATCCTTGTGACAATTTATCTTCCTACTATGTGTCATTTCAGATGTAGAATAAAGCTAACGTGCCAACACCATGTCTGCTTGCATGCCACCATGATTCCCAGCACAAACATAATGAACTAAACCTCTGAAAAGCAAGCTGGTCCTAATTAAATGTGGTTAAGAGTTACTATGGTCATGGTGTCACTTCACAGAAATAAAACTCTAATTAAGACATAGAGAGATAATGGTTACATAGATGGTAGATAGATAGATAGATAGATAGATAGATAGATAGATAGATAGATAGATGGATGATGGAGATAGATGATAGGTAAATAATCAAAAAGACAGATAGATGAATATATAAAATGTTATTTTACCAATTGTCTGTTATGTATCTTAACCTGATTTTATAAATAGGTTATTGTCTCTGTTACTTTTCTATTTCTGAGCTAAATGAACAAGTACAAACTGGCTTACAAAGAAAGCATTTAATATGGTCCACATATTCAGAGACGTCGAGTCTCTGGTGGCATACAGTAATTAGAGCTGAGAGCTCACAGCTTGGTTCATAACCACTGGCAGAGAGAGAGAGAGAAAACTGAATGCCACACAGGTCTTTTGAAACCTAAAAGTTTAACCATCATGGCACTTTTCCTAGAAAGCAACAACTCCCTATCTTTCTAAACTACAGCTCAAAGGCACAAAAAATATATTCAAAAAATCATAAAATAAAACTTTCTCAACATAAAAGAATGATATCCTTATGAAGGTACAAGAAGCTTACATAGCACCAAATAGACTAGATTAAAAGCCTTATCACCATATAATAATTAAAATGCAGTACATGCAGAATAAAGAATGAATATTAAGAGCTTCCAAGGAAAATGGCCAAGTAAATCAAAGTAGACCTATCAGAATTACATCTGTCTTCTCAATGGAAAACATTAAAGCCTGGGCAGATGTGGTGCAGATACTAAGAGGTCACAGATGCTAGCCCAGACTACTATACCCAGGAAATCTTTCAATCACCATCAAAGGAAGAAACAAGATATTCCAAGACAAAATTAAATTTAAATAATACCTATCCATAAATCCAGATCTACAGAAAGTACTAGAAGGAAAACTTCAACCCAAGGAAGCTAACTGCACACACAAAAACAAGGAAACAGATAACTTCACAGCAATAAAACACTAAGAAGGGAAACTCACACACTACCGCTGAAAAACAATAGAAACTATCAATCACTGGTCATTCATATCTCTTACTATCAGTGGACTCAATTCACCTAAAAAAAGAGACACAGGCTAAGAGAGTGAATATGAAAGTAGGATCCAGTCTTCTGCTGTACACAAGAAACACACCTCAACCTCAAAGCCAGATATTACCTCAGAGTAAAGGGTTGGGAAACAATTTTCCAATCAAAAGGACCTAAAAAACAAGCAGGTGTAGCTATCCTAATATCTAACAAATTAGACTTCAAACTAAAATCATTCAAAAGTGACAGAGAAGGACACTTTATACTCACAACAGTACTAATCAATCATGATGAAGTTCAATCCTGAATATCTATGCACCAAATACAAGAGTACCCATGATGTGGGAACATATTCTGCTCCTTCAGCCAATAGCGTTTAAGATCCCAACCCATTTGGTCATGGTCTCTTATACTATAAAAGCAGCTAGGCTCCTACAAAGCCAGTTCATGCAGTAGAATCAAAACCCAGTGCCATTGTCCTTGGCTTCTCATGAGCCCTCATTGTCTGCCATGTTCAGAGAGTCTGGTTTTATCCCATGCTTTTTCATTTCCATTCCTGCTGGCCTTGGTGAGCTGAATCAAACCAAAGTCTGATTGTACCAGACTTTCTTTTATACTATTTTTATAGCAAGGGAGCAGTACTATAAAAGAGTGCCTGCTCTCTTGCTTCCAGCTCCCAGTTCTGGCTGCTAAACTCTGTTCCTGTTTGCGCAGAGAACTGTTACCTAAGACAGTGATCTGAGGTTTTCCCAGTAAATAAATAACTCTTTTATTATTCATAAATCTGAACTGGAGTGGGATTGTCTTGTGACTTATGCCATCATTTGGCACCTGAACATTTGGTTTTAGAGCCCCCCACCCTGGCTCTGCTACCCATTACCAGCTTGGAGTGTGCCTGACTAGGTGTGAGCCCTCCCTCAGCTGGCCACGGCCTATGCATGGAGTAATCAGTTCATTTGAATATAGAATTCTCACGAAATGGCAGCTTTTATTGCCGCAGATCTGCTGTGGTTCTTTATACCATCTCATTACTTGCCTCAGAGCAGCTTCCAGTCCCCACATGCTAACTCCAGTGTCTGTGTCAAACCACATGCACACGCACACTGCATGGAAATTCAGATGGGATATGGGCTTTCCTGGGTACCTGCTGTTATCTTGTTATCCCTGTGCTCCTATGGCTGCCGACCAATCAGGGCCCACTGTGGTACACACACTTTGTGATTTCTAATAATAATTATATTTTTGGTTTAAGCGTATCTTTCAGCATTTCACACTAAAATCAGATTTATAAGAGTCACGTGACTCCAGGTGTGTCACTAGGCCCAGCTGGGTTAGTTTTGTAGGTGCCATGTGACACCTCCTGGCAGGAAATGGTTATTGCACCTAATCCAGCTAATTAAACCACAGGTAAGATTTAATATCCTAAATATAGATTAATATGCTAATTTATTTTTATGCATACTTGTATTAGCGTTTCAGTTGTATTATATATTTTTATTATTGAAAAAATTTCCTCCTTCTCCCTGCCTCCCATTTCCCTCCCCTTCCCCTAACTCCTCTCCCCTCCTCCCACTCTTTTCCCCCTCTCTCTCCACAGTCCCAAGAGCAGTCAGGGTCCCCTGCCCTGTGGGCATTCCAAGGTCCTCCCCCCTCCATTCAGGTCTAGGAAGGTGACCATCCAAACAGGCTAGGCTCCCACAAAGCCAGTTCATGCAGTAGAATCAAAACTCAGTGCCATTGTCCTTGGCTTCTCATGAGCCCTCATTGTCTGCCATGTTCAGAGAGTCTGGTTTTATCCCATGCTTTTTCAGTTCCATTCCTGCTGGCCTTGGTGAGCTGAATCAAACCAAAGTCTGATTGTACCAGACTTTCTTTTGGATCGTCAACCTGTGCTCAACTCAAGACACTAAGAGTTACTGTTTATGAATTCTCAACCCTAGCTTAGTTCTTATTTTAAACTATCCCGTCTCCTTCATAAGACAATATCTTAAGTTGTCCCCAATTAGGAGGATCAGCTGTCTGTTTCACGGGCTTTCTGTATCTATTCTTTCCCAGAGTCACGTCATTCATGTCAGCAGCCAAAGCATTCAAGAGACTTCTCTTGTTTTTGCTGAACTTTTTCTTTAAAATAAATTTTGATGTATCCACATCAATTTTGATTATCTCTTGCAGAAACTAGCATAACCTCAGCCCCATTGTAACACCTTCTCTGGTTTTGATTTTGATGCAGAAACATACTTGTAGTACAGAGCCTGAACCAATTCAGCATTTTTCCACAGTGCAATGCCTTTCAGTAGTTGTTGTCCCAGATTCATTAACATTTAAAAATTTAAAAGTTAGCAATGCATTGTGTAATCTATTCACTGGACTTTTTATACCCACTTTTGTTTTATATGCATCTCTTTGAGTGTGATTAGGTCTCTCATTAATGCCTTGTCTTTGATTATACGGCATCCCTGTAATGAGTTTTATCTTTTATCATGCAAAAAATGTTTCATTTTCCTGGAAACATAAGCAGGAGTATTATCACTTTTAATTTGTATCAATATGCCCATTATAGCTATTGCCTCTAATAATGTGTAATTATAGAATTAGCCTTTTTAGAACACAAATGAGACGGCCATTAAAATTCAGAATATGTATCAATAGTGTGATTTATATATTTAATTTTCCAAATTCTGCTAAATGAAATATACCCATATGCCAAATTTCATTTCATTTTTAAATTTTTATTGACTTTATTGAGTTATATATTTTTCTCTGCTTCTCTCCCTTCCTTTCCCCTCCTCTTCTATCCCTTTCCATTGTCCCCATGCTCCCAATTTACTCAGGATATATTGTATTTTTTAATTCCCACGTAAATTCAATCCATTTATGTCTCTCTTAGTTTCCTTTTAGTGGTCTAGGTTCTCTGGGATTGTGAATTGTAGGCTTTTTTTTTTTGCTGTATGTCTAATAGCCATTAAATTTTATTTCTTTATGTACCTTTACTGTTCTGGCTGGTGAAGAAACAGGTTCACTCTAGGATGATTTTAGCCTTTTTGACTGCAGGGGAGTTAGCTTCTGGTGAACTGAATGGCCATGCCTTTGAAAAAGACAATTTTATTGTTATACAATTTACACCTTTGCAAGTAAATTTCTGCATACCAAGACTTCATAACTGAAATTCCATAAAGGAAACATATGCCAAAGCAGTTCTAAGTCACAGAACTTCTCTATTTTCACAGTTGTTCTGCAACTAACTTGCCATAGGGTTTGAATCTCTTGGAAAGCACTCGGATAAGATTCACCTACTTCAAATAGAAGGTAGAAGTCACAAAAGGCAAATCAAAGCCCATGTTCTAGCACTCCAGAGTCAAAACACCTGCAAAGCCCTAAGGGCTCTCCCACTACATTGAAGATTGTTTCCCATATCAAAGGAATTTGATTACACAAAGAAGGCTTACAGAAGTAAGGCTTTTTAATAATTTGTTGAGCTTGTTGCCAGCTAATGCAAAATTTTGTCTTTAATCACTTACTGTTAATATGATATTTTTGTAAAATTATGAAGCTTCCAACACATTTTCTATTAGTATTTAATAAATTTCTTCATCTCATTTTGCTCATGGCCCAGGAAAACTATCCTGAAACCAAATGAGGGTTGTACAGTGGATTAATTCCTGTCCTAAATTGTTTGTTGTAGTTGCATAAATAGTAGCACTAATTCTATAATGTTAATGCTAGTTAACAGAAAGAAGTACAAGAGTTTTTGGATGTAATACAACCTTTTCTCCGTATTGAAAATAAGTAATTATAGTAAGATTCATTAATGTCTAATAAAACTCATAGAATGG